CTCGCCGGCCCCTTAGAGAGATCAGATCGGAAACCCCCACATTCTCATCTTCTCGCGTCCTCCTCCTCTTTTCTTTGTCGTCGGCTCGCTTTGTGGATGATCTTCGGTGGCTTACAAACCGCCGTCGTCTCTCCTCCTTTGTTCCGAGTCGCCGTCGTTCTCTTGTACCTCCTTTCGATTATTAATAAACCAAGTCGTACCGTCGGCCTTCTCCTCTTTGGTTCTCTCGGATCTCTCCTCCTCTTTCCCCTTTTCTCTTCGGTTCTATACCACTTGTTAGGTTTAGTCGATCGTTGTTGGGTTCTCTCACGTCCCACTTGGTCGATTGTCGCACGGATTGAGTATTCTCACATACAAGCCCGTGACATATATACCTTTTTTTGCTCCATCCTTATCAGATGAGCCACCCAAATTTAGATACTCGTTTCATTCCTAAATCAGAATTCAAACTCGTTCGTCATTTGATAATCACATAAAGTGGTAAAGGATTAACCTGATCAGTGATTGTTCCATTCTCGGATCAGGGTTCAAACCTTTGACCGGGATGCAAATGTTGAACCATTTATACTAACTCTCAAGAATTGATGGGGTTTTTTCTTTGTTATTTTTTCTTGCGGATTGAGATTCTGAATGAAGATTAAGTTTTTTAGTGTGTAAATTTGAAAATAAGATGTTTTCCACACCATTGCAAATCAGAATAAAGGAAGATTTAAAACCATTGTTTGAGTAAGAGCATTTATATCGGTTTTTTTTATTCTTGGGTTTAGTGGGCGATTCTTAAGATACCCAATTATCCACAAAAAAAAAAAGAATTTAAACCGTTGTAATGTGTTTTTAATTCTTATCATTGTCAGATAATTATATATATATATATATATATATATATTTGATTTATCGAATTGATATCGTAAATCTAGGTGTATAAGATTCAATTAAATAATAAAATTCTAGACTCAACATCCACAAGTGTACGAATCGTGTGTAGCAACTAGGGTCGAACACAAAGACAAGTAAACAACGGAATCAAATTACAATCCAAATCTAAATCTAGAGAAAATATGAGAATGATGAAAATGTATCAAAAGAAAATAATAAAACAAACGATAAACTATCAATGGCAAAACACTGCAGGTTTTGAGATCGCTTTACATGCAATAGTCTCTTCTAAAGATGCAAACTCAATGGTTTATAAATCCAGTTCAGAGAATTCAAACTCTAAAATAGAAATTCTCTCAAGTCTATTCTCATTATCCAAGCTTTATACTATTAATCTCTCGATTCAATAGTCTAAACCCTGGATGCATGAACGAACGCTATCATAATCCCTAGACAAATATTCATCTCTCGATGTGATACTTGTTCTATTTATTGAGTTATTTCTAGATTATAATCACATATGTCTATGCGAAGTAAAACCCTAAGTTCATTCAATCAAATGGCTAAAAAGTTCAAACGTATTAAGAACATCTCAATAAACCGAATGATATAAATAAATCCATAGAGTTTGGAATAAAAAATAAAAGATCCCTACATTGCAAATCTTTAACCTACAATAAAGAAACTACTCGCTAAACATCGAGACGTCGGGGTTCATATCAATAATACAAAACATCGTAAAATAGAAGAAAGAAAGAATGCTTAGTCGATTTTTCGACTTCGTAATCTCCGTCTTCTACTCAGATCTCTTGCCTCTTGATAATCGTCTTCTTTTTGTGTGCTCTAGGGTGTGTTCTCTGATAAAACTTCAATGATTGTTGCCCTAGAAGCTTTCCCCTCTTATCTCCCTTCGTTTTGGGTAAAATTGAAATTATTTCAAAATCTAGGGGTCAAACCAATCATTTTCGGCCAAACTAAACCGATCGTTTCCATTTTCTGAGCAATTTTCCAATTTTTCGGAGCCGAACCGAACGTTTTACCACCAAGTCCAAAACAATTGTTTCATGTCTCTAATCAATTTTGATGGATTTTACAAATTCGCTCATAACTATCTGTTCCGATATCGGATTTGGGTGATCTTGATGTCTATATGTAGATATTGAAAAGGTTTTCCAATGACATAGAGAATGTATGATTTGGACTTGTAAAGTGAAAGTTATTGGACATGCGAAATTTAACAATTTATGAGCTTCACTTTTTCACTTGAAACACTCCAAATGTTCCCGTTTCGTCCGTGGTGTTTCGTAATCCATATTTTCCACTCATTTTTACGCTTTTTATGTGTGAACACCTATTTAAACACCAAAGAAAACAAAATCCAATATCCAAACCAAATGTGTCATAAAATGTCTATAAATCGTAAAACCAGGCGAAATACATTAGATATCCTATATCAAAACATTTATCACAAATTTAGTTATTTAATAAGAAAATTTCTAAATGGCTTTGGAAACGAGGCACCACCCACAGTGGGTCGTGTTGTTCAATTTGGTGCAGCAAACTCGTGTAAGAGAAGCATCACTCTTTTACTTTGGGAATTTTTTTGGGTACTCTACTATATTCATAGATTAAGACTTCAGGGACTTTATTGGTTGCGGTGGCTATTCGATTAGTAATCGTAACGGTTGAATGGCTATTGTAAACATTTGGGAAATAAAAATCAAAATCTTTGACCAAAAAATAAAAAGAAATTCCCTTTATTAAACTTATTATTATTCTTTTTTAGAATGTGAAATAGTATTTTTAAACTTCACTAGAGAAATATGTATACTTTTAAATTTAAATTTGTTTTTTCATATATGCCTAAACCCAATATGTTTTAGCCCAAGTTGTTTAGTCCAATTTTCTCAAATTTTATGGACTGATTCTTTACGGCCCATGAACCTAAACCTAAAATTTACTTGTGCAAATCCAAATCAAAATTGTATCGGCTTATAATAACACGAATATATGGGTTATTTCAGACTTGGTATAAAATTGAATTTTCAATTCGATTTAATTTAGTTGGTATAAATTCCTGTTTAGTTCAAATTAAATCGTTTATTATATGAGAGGAATAATAATGTTGTATTTATTCCATAAACATTACACGAGATATATACAACGAGTTGTTGCTACAATTGAGGAGAGAATAAGGAAATAGTCACTATATGCAATATTGCAATCATGGGAGAATCACAAGGTTACGGATTTGTTGTTGTCATATCGTGTCCTATATTATATATTCAAACCGAATAAAATTCTTCCATTTGGTTGTCCATCGAACCCAACCAAGTCACTTACCCATGATTATTTATTTTATATACGCGCATGTCTAGTCCATATGCGCAGATATTATATGTATATTACGGCGACAATACTATTAAAGTCACTTGCTACACACAATGACTAAACCTAATAAGGAATTTGCATGCTCATGCAGCCAAAGGAAAACATAATTAAAAGAGACAGGGAACTTAACTTTCATGTCATTGACGTTCTTTTGTTTTGTCCTTTTCATCGTTTGACCAAAGGACGCAACTTTTGAAAGAGTTGTTGGTGGTATAATTAATCATTTTTCTTACTTAGAAAAAAGTAAAAACATTTAGTCTCGTAAATATATGCTATTAATGTTCTAATTCAAAGGATACACACACATATATGTATACACAGACAGACACAGATTGCCTTTTTCCCTTTTTTTGAATTTTTACATCAACGTTAAAGAGACATGCTTGTAATAATGGGATTTGTTTACATATATATATATATTCAGATAATCTTTTGAGCATTTTTTGCCTCTATTACAGGCTAAATACATGCAAATGACTTTATCTGTAATTATCTTGGAATTGACTATATATATATATATATATATATATATATATATAATAGAGTAATAAACCTGGCAACGGTTGATATTGAATGTAAAAGTTGGTGATAGGTAGCGATTTACCTTTATTTTTTATGTTTTGTTCGTGTGGTTATGCAATTGGTTCCTCTGGTTACTGAATATATATATTTATATGGTTACTGATCTTATGATTTTAATGTTTTACACAAATTTTTTTGGTGATAGCCAATGACATCGTGAAAATGTTTGTCACACGTAAAGTTGGTTTTATTGTTTAATATAGAATGTAATAATGGTACAAAATATTATTTTTAAATTGCAAACTAGAATATGAAATTATTTGTTCAATAAGTTCAATGCGACATAATTTAATTGTAGAATTAATTATTTAATTTATCAATAATAAAAAAGATAAAGCACCACCAATACATGCTTACTTAATGTAGGAAGAGACACAAGTAAAGGCATTGTCCCAAGATGCTCGTCGTTCTTCCACGCTCATTGAAGCTTTTGAAACATAAATCTATCTTCGAACCAACTAATATATTGGGAATTATATTACTAATATTATAATATTATTCACAAAAATTACACTTACAACAACGATGAATATGTGTATACATGTGTGCAGCACACACATGCATATAATCGAGGGTATGGTTGGAAGACGGATTGAAATATCTGGAATATATCAAGTAAAGTTAAATGCTATATATTATATACGCATATACATGTATATATATATATGTATATGTATATATAGTAGTTAATAGTATATTATATACGCAATAAATGTCCACGATCTTCTTCTATAAAACTCAATGAATAGAAATTAAATGCTTACATTGATGAATAGTTTCTACTTCCCGGAAATTTCCGGCCGTTTACTGACAGCGTGGAGTTCGGACATCACATTCTCTGAATTTGTAAAAGAATAGGGTTTCGTCCTTCTATGTTATATATATATATATACTTCTTTAATATTTTTTGTTAACCGAATATCCTAAACGAAGTCCCAGACTAATCTCGGCCATAAATCAACTATATGATTTAGAATATACATCTTTTTCCAAATTTGATGTTCGAACTCGGAACGAGATAGACGATTTGCATCCCATTTCACCGATTGAACTATCCAAATTTGGGTTGTATTTCTGTACGGTATGTCATATGCTGATGGCGTTTAAGTTATTTACTGTGGAATATAACTACTGGACAAATAGAGTAGACGTCTGGTGAAAGCTTAAACCGTCTCTTTTCATAACGAGGACGTTAAGGTGACATATAATATATCTAGACATGTATATATATGGATCATGTCATGATATATGGATATTACATGAATAAGCTCCTAATGACTGCGGCTTCGGCGCTATCTTCATCAACAGAGTCAAGAAGCTGAGACAGACGCTCACTGAGGTTGTCCACTTCTCTATGCAAGTTCCTTATGTAGTTGCATGTCTCCTGCAGGACTTTTGAAGCCGACACCTTCACAAAACCAAACCCATATGACTAAATTTCGATACTCAAACATATATATACAATACATGCGTGTATGTATCTATATCGATATGATGATGATGATGTATGGAAATGCATGCATGTGAACGTACACGACAAGACTTTTAGTTGGTCAAATGGAAACACTAAAGAAAAAAGGGCATGAAAAGTATGGTGTGCGGACTCAAAAAGTTTCGACTTGTTCCCCCTTTTCTTTTTCAATAAATACAAAATATATTTTTTTTTTCAGAGTTGTGAAGTGACCACTTTGACATTTTTTTTTTACGAGTAAATACCTTATCAGATCGACGTCTGTCACGAATTTCAGGCAAAAAGTGACGGAGCTTGGTTACAAGGTCGACGATCTGATCATCGGAGATCCTCGAACCACTTGAAGACTGTCTTGATCTTCTGCTAGACATGTCCTTTTGATCCTTATATATAGTACAATTCGGTAGAAAAAAAAAGATATTTGGAAGTATGTGCTTTCTCTCACTATATATATATGTGTGCCCTATCTCTCTCTCTCTCTCTCTCTCTAGAAGAAGGGACGAGAGGAATGGAGTTTGGAAAATAGTTGCAAATGAGATGGGAGATAGGCTTTATAGCTACTAACTTGGCAAGTTAAATAACAAAGACATTTAAGGTTATGATGATGAAGATGTCAATACAGAATAAATAAATAGGAAAAGCAAATTAAGTGAGAAGATAGGAAGAGGAGATACGGAGAACGTGCTTGGATGCTGGATACTATAGAATCTAGCTAGAGATATAAAGAAATCGACGAAGTGATAAGAGAAATTTAAAGGGGTGAAGGACCACAATGGACAAGGAGAGAGAGAGAGAGAGAGAGAGAGAGAGAGAGAGAGAGAGAGAGAGAGAGAGAGAGATATACTACACAATAAACCTAGACAATGATATTCTAGGGGGGAGAAAATTTTGAATGCCCTTCGAATTAAGCTATATATTTTTTTTATTTTACGGTAAAACTCATAAAAATTTATGAGTTCGTAAAATGATGGAAAACAAAAAAGGGCAGCCTGGTGCACAAAGCGTCCCTGTTGAACGGGGTCAGGGAAAGACAAGGGTGTATTACCTTGCAGAAATATCTGCAAGATGCTGGTTCCAGGTCACAACGGCAACACCTTAACCGGTGCACCAAGGTTCCCCTTCAAAATGATGGAAAATAATTTTTAAAATTTTTCGTTTAACAAATTTATTTCCAAACTTATAAAATATGTCATTATAATTCTCAAACTTACAAAATGTGTCATTATAATTCTCAAACTGAATCAATATTGTCGAAATTTTTTCTGACACTAATTAACAAATTTGAAAATTAATTATAACTATACATTTTATAAGTTTAGAAATTATAATGATATGTTTTACAATTTGATAATAAATTTGTTAAATAAAAAGTTTAAAAATTTATTTTCCACCATTTTATAGTTCAAGAATATTTACAGGGTTTACCCTTTATTTTACTAATACTATATTGTTTACTCATTTTATATTAGGATATGATAATATAAAATACAATATTTATATTGAATAATTGGAGTAGTTGCAATTGTTTCATAGAGAAAAAGAAAACTGTATGTATGTTCCTAAGTTGGGGTTGAAGTTCAAGTGGGATTTAAGAGAGATGTTTCATGTTTGTAACAACCCGGTTTCTTTAAAAAAAAAAAAAAAAAAAAAAAAAAAAAAAAAAAAAAAAAAAAAAAAAAAAAAAAAATTGCAGACCGTCCGTTCCAGAGGGACCAGAACGGACGGACCACGGCCATACGAGAACGGACGGACCGCGCAGACCAGAACGTCCGTTCCAGACTGCAGAACGTCCGTTCCACACTGCAGAACGGACGGACCAGACTGTCGGGAGCAGCCAAGCCGCGATTTCGTCTGGGTCCGACCTGAAAACGACGTTTACCCACCAATCTTCGACAATAATTCCGATTTTTCAACCCTAGGGCCCTATGGCTCAATCATT